CCGAGCCCTGGATACTAACAGAAAAGTTGATCACCAAGAATTCATGGCCACAGCTGAACGTCTGATCAAAGAAGTATCTGCAATCAAAGCTGAACTCCAATCTACAATTGCGGATCAAGCTGTTCAATCCAAGAAGCTTGTCGAGGAAACTCACAATGCTTATGAATCAACCATTGCGGTCCTTCAATCTACAATCAACAGTTTAAGGCGCTCCTTATCCACAAACTCTCATGGCCAGGAGATTCTCAAGCTCACAAAGGAGATTCACAAACTCCTTTTCAACACCGCAATCCCCAACAATCAATAGCTGAGTGACATACTCAAGTCACAGTTTAACGACGTCTTCTCCAAAATAGACGGTCTTAAATAATGGTTTGAGGAGCAACAAGAGGTTCCTTCCTCAAAAAGGGGAAGTGAAGGTCATGATTCGGATCCCATGTCTCATCAACACTCTCATCTTCATCAACATTTGATTCTTCCCATCCGAGTTGGCCCTAGTCACCAGCAATCAATCATCCAGCAGAAAGTTCTCACACTGCAACCATCACCTCAACCGTCTCAAAAGAAAACTCTGGTGCATACTCCTACTCGAAATCCAGTTCATTCTCAACATCAGTCTCCTCCGCAACAACAAATTCTTCAAGAAGTTCATCAGTCTCCTCCGCACCAACAAATTATTCAAGAAGTTCAACATCAGTCTTCTCCGCGACCAGAGACCCCCGCAATTTAAAAATCTAGCACCAACCATGTCATCTGAACACTCCAACGACTCCCCTGCAACCAAACAAAGAAAAGTTGATTGGAAATCAACAAAGTTTGTTGAGTTGATATGGAGAGAACATGACTTTGACATCACCACGGATGAAACCCTCATCAATTCTTGGGTTAATCCAATCCGCATACTTCTTGATGAAGACTATAAGCTTGTCTTGACCCTTGCGGAACCTCCCTCAGACGGCTATTGGTACATTCCTATCTCCCCCAATGCGAAGTTCTTCACAGTTTTTGAATCATTTTACCACAGCCTCCCTGATGATCAAAGGCTACCTCTCGAATTCGAAAGACTTAACAGATTTCATGCCAAGCATGGATCTAAAATTGAGAGCATCTGGTCTAATGACAGATCTTCCGCAGTCAAGAACTTCAAGCCAAGGAAGTTTATGAAATCAGACTTCATCCAATATACACTAACTAGAAGAAATTTAGACTACATCCGAACCCAAGCAGACTTCCCGTGTATGAATCCGGAGGAAGTATTTCTAATTGCAAGGCTATTTCAGATCAAGTCTGAAAAACATCCAAATATGAAGATTGCATATGAAAGAGTCTGCACATATCTTAAGGAAACTGTGTGTGATTTTGCGAAGATCGATGCAGATATTCACCCAGTCCTTGCTCCGAAGTTTAATCTTCTAGCCCTAGATCCTGCTCCGGTGCTCACCGAAGGTTTTCAAGAAAGATCCTTAGGAGCAACAAACTTTATTGATCTTGGAGTCATTTTCAAACGAACAGATAATGAAACCAAATACTTCATTCCAATGACTGCCATGCATCGTATGACTCGGAAGCAGCTGGAGATCATTCAAACCGCAGTCAAAAGATCAAAACACACTGAAACACATTGACCGGAGGGTCTTATTCGAGTATAGCCATGAGAGGCTAATGAGACGAGTGTGGTATTTTGGGGAACTCACTAAGCTTCATGCTTACCGTGTTATGTGTTATGTGTTTCAGGTACCTCTCATGATCACGGGAAGGCACCGGCTTGATTGTACACACACACACGAGTTGGAGATATGTTTTGAGGATCCTGGATTTGTGTCATAAACAGTTTTGGAATATGTGTTTGATAATTTGATACTTGTGGGATTCTGTGGTTTTGAAAATTAGATAATTGTGTTTTTAAATGAAAAAATTTGTTTGAAAATTTACGGTGTTACAAATACACTAATACACTATACAATTACAAGGAACATACATAGCCTATCTATTTACAAGACTACACTACATTCACTAAAGAAAACATTGGACTCTTTGGAGATAAACTATAGCATTTTCTAGTAACAAAGATAAGTATTTTCCATCACAAAAACATATTTATTAACTCACCAACTTAAATGTTGATACACTTTCAAAATCACTTGTATTCTCATGGAACCGGTAAGACAAGTACACCCGCAGGTTTTGAGAAGACGGAGCTTTTAGAGTCGCGTCTTTTATACTTTTGTTATACATTTTGATGTCATACAAACTACGTATTGAACAGATGTAAATACTTTACTTATCAATGTAATGGTTGTGCTTGCTTTGATTACTATTATACAATTGTTGTGATACTATACATGACGTCCTCCGCCCCCGAACGTTTCTGCCGTTGCGGTTTGGGGGTGTGACATACGTATAATGGGGTCGATGTGTATCTGCATACTTAAGTGATGTTATTTTTATGTTTCCTATGTTTTAGTTTCAAGTGTCTTATGTTTTATTATCATGTTGTAACATCCGATCCAGGTACGAATCAACTTTCTTGTATGTATTTTAAAAGGGGTGGTCACGGCGTGGTGGAGCATCACCACGACGTGGTAGATTATGTGGGATCGCAAGATTTTAATGACCCGCCACGACGTGGTCTTGGGGCACCACGACGTGGCAGGTGTTTTTTTTTGTGAAAACCCTAATTTCGGGTTTTGAACCCTATATAAGGAACATTAAGGCTAGGATTTCAGCCTCCATCTTCCTCCCAACCTCAGAAACCCTAACCCTAGCCTCCATTGAAGTTGTGAGCTCATTCTTGGTGCTTTTTGGTGATTTTAGTAGGGGAAGGAAGCTCTTGGTGAGGTGGTTACCTGGCAAGCATCATTTCTCCAGCTAAGCTTATCTCTTGGACCTTGGTGAGTGTCACTCAACCTTTTCTTGCCATGTTGCTATATCTCTTGTTTTTGTCCCCTTTTTCCATGATTTTGATGCACTTAAGTAATGAGATCTCATAAAGTTTGCACCTTTATGAATCTCTAGGTCAAATAGAGCTTTTAGTGTCTTGGATCTGAATTATAATCATGTTTTGGATGTCATGTATGGGATTTTAGTCATTGAACCCTTTTGTTTACCTAAAATGGAAAAGGCATGTATTGGATTGGACATGCAAGTCCATAAAGCCACGATTTTTAAGGTCTCTTTGGAGTATGAAACCTTTCTGGAAACCTTGGAGGTGCAACTCTAAGGATTTGGTGCTTAATGAGAATCTTGATGCATTAAGTTACCATTAGTGGTTGGGGCTAGAAATTTGGCTTATAGAAGGGTTTGAGGGGTAAAGTTGGAAACTTTACCCATCAAGACCATGGGAAGGACCAGATCTGAACCTTGGAGATTTTGTAGTTGAAGGAAATGACTTAATGGTTTAAGCTGTCCAGACTCATCACCACGGCATAGTTGAGGTCGCCACAACGTGGTGACTTGGTCAAGACCCGCCTATTTTGTCAGTTTGCGGCCACGACGTGGCGACTAGCTGGTTTGACTTTTGATTTTGACCAGGATTTGACTAAGTTTGACTTAGGGGTATTTTGAGTATTTTGACTTGTAGTCTGAGTTTTGGTCACTATTATTTATGAAAGTGGCCGTTAGAGTTGGTTTTTGGAGCAACGTGCTGTTGCAGCTATTTCGTCTGTCTGTGAGGTGAGTCTTCTCATTGTACCCATGGGTCGAAGGCACCAATGTCGGCCCATTGTTGTGTTATTTAGGATGATAGTTGTTATGTAGCTTATATGTGTTTGTATGATGGGTTGAAATAGACCCCAGGGTGGGGCCCATTATTGTATGTTCGGGTTGAAAGATACCCCAGGGCAAGGCCCTAGGACGGGGCTCATATATGTATATCGGGTAGGGTTAAGCCCAATTGTATGTTTTGGTATGTGGTACTTTGGAGAACTCACTAAACTTTGTGTTTACAGTTTATGTTTATGCTTTCAGGTACTTCTAATTCGAAAGAGAATGGTCCGACGTGATGACACAACATCATTCCCTCATGATTTATGCATTTTAAATAATTGTAATCTGATGTTTTGGATATTATATTTGGTGTTGGATTTTGAAACAATTAATGAATGAATTGATAGTCTTTCAATGAAAATTTTATCTCTGTTTTTGAGCTGTCAACCAATTACACTATATTTAACACTAATTTATTGTATAAAAATGGTTTTTTAGTGTAGGGTTGAAGATGCCCTAAGAAAAAAAAAATTGGAAAAAAAAAAAAAGTCCATCTAAATTCAAGAAAATCAACCAAAATCACATGTTATAAGAAGATACTTGCAAAGCACAACCACAACACAACAAGTGGAAGTCCAAATAAATAAATAAATAAATAAACCACAAAACAGAAGAAAAAAAAACGTTGTTGAAGAGAGAAGGTAGTCGGTAATATGTATAACTAAGCATCTGTCAACTTCATAAAATAGTCTTGCAAGAATCCTATCCTAAGCTAAAACCCCTAATAGTCAGGAGGTTTCCCAACTAATAAGGAGTCCTCGTAATCACCTAATATTTCCTTAATAATTTCTAATATATTCTACCATTTTATTTTGCCATGTGTCACTCTCATTAATTGTCCTTTCATTTCTATTTATTTTAAATTAAATTTTTTTCACATATAATATTATGATTTTTTTTTTCTAATTTATTAAATTTCACATGATATTTAAATATAATAATTGTTACAAATATAATAATAAATAGCTATCAATTTTATTAATGCAATTTTTTTTCTTCTAATTTCAAAATTCCTAGATTGAATCCCAATTATTATCCTTGTATATTTATTTAAATTATTTGTTTAAATTTAAAAAAGAAATAAACACTTCAATTTCAATAGTTCAATATTATTCTCATTTTCTTTATAAATTCAAACTTCCTAAATATAATAAGAGTCTACATAGAAATAAAGAAATGTGCAACAGCTATGTATAAATACCGCATATAAAAGGAAAGTCGATTCCAAAAACAGCACACAGCTAGAATTCCGTACTTTTCTGTAAAGGTGCAATACCTCAGCAGCATACTTCAATGCATAATTATGGTTTAGGAGCATCATTAGCACAAAGAAAAAAAAAAGCATAATACTATAGAAACTCAAAATATTCAGGCCAACATTAGTCGATTACAAGAAATGATATAAAACCAGATAGTTTTTATGTGGACGCAGTTGTATGATGCTTGCTTTCATGTCTTTTGCACTCCTAACTGCAAGAAATGGTCCAAATGTTATTATTGGTAACAACACATGCGGATTTCAAATGTTGAAAACAGGAACATGTTTTATTGCACGAACCCACCTTTCACGAGGAATTTATCATCTAATTCATGGATTCTAAGTTGCTAACAGATCAAGTTAAAGTTCCAATTGAAGTAAGAGTGTAAGACGACTAACAGAAGACAAAGAAAGTACCTATTTAGTAAATCCACTCCATTGGCCCTGAGTGCTTCTCGTAATCATCCCTAAAGAGGAAAGAGACTACTTATGTGGGTGGGTGTCCTATTCCCAATATCACGGCTGTATGTAGCAGAAGAATTCACCTTCTGAGGTTTGTATCTCGGATATAAATTCACATGTCTGAAGAACAGCCACAGATCCAATAATACGCAGATCTTCCACTAAAGAAATGCTCAGCGGAAGATGACTTATGCCTGTACCTTTTACGTTTAGCTCACTTAAACATTGTAAATGTCCAAGTTGAACAGGCAATTCCTTAACTTGATCACAAAAGGGGAGATGAAACCATTTCAGATTACTAATCTTACAGATGCTGTTTGGAATATATTTCAAAGACGTACACTCTGTTAGGATTAGCCTCTCTAAACAATTTAATTTGCCAAGATCCTTCGGTAACCTCTCAAGGGACCCACAAAGTTCAAGTTTGAGAGATTTCAGACATTCCAACATGCAAATGCTATCCGGAAGACATTTAATACTCGCAGACAAAAAGTTAAGCTTCTCTAAACATACTAATTGGCCAATATCCTTGGGTACCTCCTCAAGAAGCAAACAAGATTTAACTTTGAGAGATCTCAAACGTTTCAATATACAGATGCTATCTGGAAGACGTCTGATACCCGTAGACAGCAAACTTAGCTTCTCCAAACATTCTAATTGGCCAAGATCCTTGGGTAACTCTTCAAGAAGCAAACAGGATTTAACTTTGAGAGATTTCAGATGTTTTAACATACAAATGCTATCCGGAAGACATTTAATCAGTGTATACAACAAATTAAGCGTCTCTAAGCATTGTAACTGGCCAAGGTCGTTGGGCACCTCTGGAATACAGCCCTCCAATGTAAGGTGCCTCAGGTGTTCTAAACCACAAATGCTTCTTGAAACACTCTCAAGTTTTGTGCGAGGCTGAAGATTTAGAGAAACAAACTTCAGACCTTCTCTACTTGATGAGGGTACTTCTTCGGTATAAGAACATGTAAACTCAAGCGTTGGGATATTGGTGCGCCTTGAGAATTTCTGTAGGGACTTGGCTGTCACGTGTAACTTAGATAAAGAAAGAAGCTTCAGTGATTCCAACCGTTTGATATAAGAAAAAGCATCAAAGCTTGAACAACCGATTAAGTCTAAGTGGAAAAGCCTTGTTGGGCTTCCAACTGGCGTGAGAAGAACCACCAAATCATGACATTCTTTGAGCTCTAACCACTCAAGCCGCGGAGTCAGCTGAAGGTCAAGGGTCGTCAACATTGAGCGACTAAGGTCAAGGAATCGAAGATTGTTCAGAACCTACAATAAGAAAAACGAAAAAAAAAAAAAAGATGAATATTGTTGTAATAACTAACTAACTAACTGGTACATGTATAACATTATAGTGAATCATTATTCTACCCTTATTTCTCCGTCTTCCCAAAGTTGTGTGATTCTGCTGCCAGGCAGTTCAAGTGTAACAAGATTACTTGCGTGGAATGTTACGGGTAAAGACAGGAAAGGGTAACAAACCCATCTCAGAAATCGTAATGCATTTGGAAGGTATTGTCTAACTTCATCAAACTCCCAATCACCGGAAAGATCATCATTCTCATTTTCAGATTCCACGATAAGACATCTAAGTTCGTCCATGCGTCCAACACCTTCCATAATAACGTGATGACTGAGTTGCAGTTCCGACAGTAGTATACATCTTGTCGCTTCAGTACCCTGTAATACAAGAATAGTGACCATGAAACTTGTGTCGACTAATTAGAATGTGTTCCATGTAAACTTGATCCTTACCAGGTCATTAGCCAATACATCTTCAATTTCCTTCCGAATCCACAATCGGCTATGTTGGTTGGGCTGATAGGGGTGCAAACGGCGAACGATATTTCTGCCCATGCATTCTATATAAGTATCCATGCCCAAGCGGTGATCATGTGAAACAGTTAGGAGAGATTTTCTTTCAAGAACTCTTAAACCATCTGTAACACTAAGTCTACAGCTTTCAAGAATTCTAATTGCATCATTTTCCAGCAACCCCTTCATGAAGCATGCAACATCTAGGAATATGTCCTTGTTAACATCCTCCAAGCTGTTATAGCTTGATTCTAATATATTCTGACATAGCTCAAAACATTCTAGTATTTTATCGAAAGAAATTAGTTTAAGATATTTTAGCACATCTCTCCATTCACTCTCGTTTTTATCACGAAGAAACGAACCCAAAAGTTTGATTGCTAAGGGGAGACCAGCAGCACAATCTACAACTTCAAGTGATAGCTGTTTGTACCCTTTAACTGGATTATCTCCCCCAAATGCAAACCAACTGAAGAGATGAATTGCTTCCTCTTCTGGTAATGCAGGGACAAGATGAATATGTTCAACTCCGTGCTGTAGCAGTATTTTCTCATCTCTTGCGGAAATGATTATCATACTTCCTTTACCAAACCAATTAGGTGCACCCGCTAATGCTTGAAGCTGTTCTATGCGATCCACATCATCTAGAACAACAAGAACCTTTTGATGACCCAACTTCTCTTTAATCGTGTTCTTCCCCTCGGAAACACTACTTATGATGATGTCTTCATCAACCAAGACATCCGATAGGATTTTTTTTTGCAACGACATCAAACCGGACAGAGAGGGTTCTGAAATTTCCCTAACATTTGCCACAAAGCTTGTACCTTCAAAATGAGAAGATTCTCTATCACAAATAGCTGTAGCCAAGGTTGTCTTCCCAATACCTTCCCTCCCTGTGATCCCTATCATGCAAACATCACCATCCCTGCGTCCAGAAAATGATAAAATTTCATCTATCTGGGGCCCCATGTCTATCGATTTGCTATTGATGTTCCCATTAATGGAACGTAAGTTGAGCCAAATCTCTTTAACAATGTTTTCGATGAACTCAACCGCATTCCTGTAGATTAAATAAGATACAATTAGCTTCCTTAAGATCCCAAGTGATAAATTAACTTGAAGTATATAACATACAAACTTGCAAGTAAAAACATATGCATATTCCATGTTTCCTCTTTCGACAACACTCAAATTTAAGCAGTGGCGAATCCAGGATTCAAACTTACATGTTCTGACGTGAAAAGTGACAAAAAAACGGGTCACAATATCGGGTCAGATTGTAATAAAACTATCTAAGACAAGCATAGTATTAACTTTATTATTTTTGTTTGCCTATCTCACTCTGTTATTTTTTCTCATCTTACATATTACTTTATCTTATAGTTTACAAATTTAAAAGATTTAAAAATAGATTATATATCTTAATAAAAGATTGTATTATTGTTAACTATCTCTTTTTTTCCCAAACAGCAAGACTTTATTATGAAAATGCTAGAGAGCAACTAAGGGTACAAAAGTTTGTTAACCATCTCTTAACCTCATAATATATATATATATATATATATATATATATATATATATATTGTATGTTGATGCATAAAAAAATTCAAAACAATCTTAAATGGTTTGTGTGTCCAGCTAGATTGTTAATAGGTGTCCATCTTGATTTTATTATGCAACAACGAAAAAGTTTCAAAGCCCAAGGGTGACTGTGGACACTCACCCTTCAACATAGCCTCATGAATTTAAGTTATAATCTAACAATACAACATGATATCTAGATGAATTTTTTTACACCCCATACTTATTAGAAACAAATACTTGAAATTATATTAATGCACAGACATGATAAATGAATTACCCATCTGCACTGCTGGCTGCTTCTGTCAAAGCCTGCCTCCATCTCCCTGACTCCATTTCCCAACAGCCTCTTCCTTGTTAAGCTTGCCAAAGGCTTTACTAACTGCTCCGGTTTGTTTGTGGACTTTGAAGGGTTCCACATCAAAGAACACACGGCAGTGTGCTCGGTAGTCTTGTGGCATTCTATCTTCTTTTAGATATATATGTATTTACCAAAGGGCTTATAGCCCAATGGTATTTGGTATTTGGTGTTGACATGGTTCCAGCGAGAAATTGGTTGAGATTTTGAAGTCGCGTCTAAGACAATGATATAATTTACAAATAGATTATAGAGTATGTAGCCGTTTAAAAAAAGATATAGGTTTAATTAGATCTTGATTATCCCTTTATCTTGTTTTGTATATAAATAGATACAAAAGCTTTCCAAAAATATGTTCAATTAAATAGGATTAAAGCCATGTCGGCGACCTACCCTTGCGTCGCCGGAATGTCGCCTAAACCCTAGCTGCCGACGACGACGAAACCTAGCGGTTGCCGTCACCGCCCGTACTGAAACAGACAGCCGCCGCCGTCTCCCTTACTGAAAAATAGATCCGCCGCCCTCAGCCGTTGACGGAACCTAGCAGTAGCCGTCGCCGGATTTCTGAAACAGAATTGTTACCTTCTGTCCAGCGAACCTCCAGTCTTCATCTCCTTTCCTCCTCTGTGAGCTCCTTGTTCGATTCCAGTTTCCCGTTTGTTGCGCTGGATTTGTTCGATTCCAGTTTCCTACTTTGTTGCCGTGGAACCGTTGACCCTGTCGCTGTGGATAACTCCTATGCAAGCTCTGTTCCTGAGTTTAGTAAAGGAAAGAACAGAGAGAAAAAAATAAGAGAAGAAAATCAAAGATACTCAAAAGATTGTCTTATGTTTTTGTGTTTCTAAACTCGAAAGAGAGAAAAATAAAATAGATATCTTCTTTAATTTATTCTAATAAATAAAACCTAAAAAGGTTATATTATATGTCCACTTTTTAGCATTTTTTTGTTGACACGTTGCATTTTCTAGGATTTAGACCATTTTCTTATTTTGGTAACAAATCAACTTCAATTCAAAACTAGGCGAATGCACGCGCATTGCGCAGAAACACATATGTAGTTGAAATCTTTATAAATATATGCTTTTTTTTTCACTCTAAAAAGTTGCATTTATTACAGAAACGCTCCATTGGCAAAGAACTTTTTAGTATTAAACACTAATATAGTTCAATACATATCGATTGAAGGCAAACGGGCAACAAGTTGTGCCGCTAGCCCTTTCTGGATGGCAAAATCAATTCTTTTGAAAACAACATTTGTGGATCTAGGAGATATGACATTAGAATGCATGACCCGTTGGACTCTATTGAGGAGCTCCACCGCCTCTGGTGCGAGAAAACCAAATGTATCGAATGCAAAAGGTACAAACACATGTTGATTTTCTATACATGCATTCTCATGCTTTACCACTTTGCACGCAGTGGCTTTCAAAGCGGCATGCCCTGCTGTGAAACCCCCGATCCCCAAACCAACGAGAGGAGAGACCCCAGTAAGATCCACGCACGCATGCTTCCCTCCTATTCATCCAAAGACCAAAATGTTAACCGGTCTAAATGTGGACCTTCCATCCTGCGGGTCCGTCAAAAAGTTCACTGGCGCTTCTTTCTTCACAAAAATATCAGCACGCCGACAAGCATCAAAGAGAACATCCCGAACCACATCATGTATGTACTTGAAACCAGGGAGCTCTCTACAATGAACCACGTGTTCCCCAAAGGTATCCAAACATGCCTTGCGGAAAACTGGGCATATCTCGTCAATTGGGAATAGGGGAATCATGAGGCGGTAACGAAGGATAGTTCGGTACTCCACAGGAGACATATGCTGGCCAAGACCATCAATAGGGATAGTTAGCAGAAAATCCAGAGCATGAGGTGCCCGCAGACACTCAAAGACTGCTTTCTGTCTGACAGTCATGTCGAAGTCGACTTCCATATCTTGGACGATTTTGCTAAAAAGGGCACACGCCAAAGCTTTTTGGGATTTAGGGGGAGCGGTGTCCTTATTAGTGAAACCGCTACAGTCAAATCTCGGAATCGTATCACGAAGACGAGTCATAGCACGTAGGTAATCCGAGTCCATACCACATACACCACTGTCACGTAAGATGTGGTCTTGTAATGCCCAAGATTGGTTCCTCGAGGCTACAAATGCGTAGGAGGAAACCTCGTATGCCTACAAACCCAAACCACCAAAACGAATAGGTAAGGAAGCCAGGCGCCACTGAATGTCTCCAAAGAAGGGGCCTCCACATACCACCATATCCTCGATAGACCTGCGCAATCCTTTGTCAAAGAACAAAGTTGCCTCTTCTATGTGTACCAGATGGTATGTCCTTAAACCAAAGAAAAGTTTTGCAATGCCCATACATGATCAAAGCAAAAGGAGCTCACTCTGCGGGTCACATAGTTGTGGAAGAAGGCTCATCAAATCAACAGCATTGCCCACTCTCTTCATGGCCAGCCCGCTAATAAACCCTGTGTCTCTGCTAACAGCCCCCCCAAGGAGCTTCACCCCCAAAGAAGGTCTCCCTATATCCGTTGTGAATAAATCGGCACGAAGCTTCCTACCATCACAGGAGGGCCAAAAAATCTCCGTTTTCTAGATGTTCAACTCAAGACCCAAGCCTGGACCATGCAACCGAATAATGTTCAACACTCTAGCCACCTCCTCTGAATCCCCAATGACAGTCCCATCATCTAGATACCAAGCATGGAGAAGGAGCTTACAATTGTCTCTAATCTTGTGTACAAGCGGGTGCAAAACGAGGGAAAAAAGAAGATGGCCCAAGGGGTCACCTTGCTGCACCCCAGTGGCAGACCATATATGTTGGTCTCCGATATAAAGTCTCGTTGCTTGCCCGTATAAGAAATTCACCCACAAATAAATGGAAGGGCACATCTTCTTAACCTCGTGGAGAAATGTTGATCGATCCACCAGGTTAAAGGCATTCGAGAAATCCACAGTCAGCATTACAAGAGACCCATCAGCATGGTGTTCGCTCAACACCCTATTGGCACTGTGTAACATAGCCTTAGCACCGTTGGATACACCAACCTCGAACTGAAAATCATTAAGGTACTTGGCCATTTCTTTACCCACACCTTTCATGGCAACCTTGGAAACCAGATGTCTCCAGATAGTGCTTACTGCAATTGGACGGATCCCGTTGTCAGGTTTAAGTAGAGGCGTGAGAGGAGCGGACACAACAAACTTTGCCAAAATGGTTGGACATCTTCCCGCTAACCATAAATTAACCACTGAAGTGATAGCATGTATGAGATCTGTGGCAATATCAGACCCTTCTCCACAAAGGGAATCTAGTAAGTGTTGAGCCCTCAAGCCATCTCTCCCGTAAGAAGTTCCTTTAGGGAAGGATTTGATGCAACCAAATACACAGTCAAAGTCTGCTACAAGGGGAGGTTCAGAAATTATGGGGCTCGACATGGATAGGGGTGGCCTGAAAGGGTGTTTGTCCTCCAAAGCTTTAATAGTATCACCATTATATGGTGCAACACCCAATGAGCATAACACTTTCACTGTTGCGGTAAAATGACCATCTGCAACCTTACAGAGACACTGTCTGAATCAACCACTTATTCCCACCAGCAAGATTTATGCCAGAATTTAAGTTCGCTATGTGTGTAGATCTAGGAATTTTGAGGCTGAAGAAATAGTTGAAGAATATGGGGTGTTTGAATCATATAGGGTATCGAATATCGATCTGGATTCTTCGTTTGCGTATACAACAATATGAGAACAGCAAAAGGTTTTGGCGGGGGAGGTTTACAGTGGGATGATACTAGTCTTCACCTAATGTATGTTTTCTTCTTCTTAAAAGACCCTCTGTCATACCCAAGAAACTATCCATAACTATTTAGGTAGATTTGAGCCCTAATATTCAAGTATTGGTTACCTACAAGTAATGTTTTTTCATCTTGTATTATGTGAGTTCTTGATTTCTCGTTCCCATGCCTAAAATTGCTCAATGAAGCCCACCTCTCATTTTTGCATCTCAATTATCCTCTCAAAAGAAACACATCATTAGCTCGGGCCTCATGTTTGGACCAAATGAGTAATCACCGTTATCTTTGCTTCGCTTAAATTGATTTCTCTTTGATGTTATCGATGGCAAACGATGGTCAAAATTTTGGTTTTTTCTCTTTAGTTTTAGTATCAAAATTTAACAGGGTGTAAATGTGTGGTATGGTTCTGTTTCTGTAGTTTTAAAAATATAACAATAACGTTGTTGTTAAATTTGATATAATAATTTTTATACTAAATTGATATAATATATTGATTATTTTGAATTATATGATAATATATACATCTATTATAACTTCATAATCTTAATCGTTTGAATGACTTCTATCCGCGAGTTGCACATGAATAAAATTAAATATAATATATGATTTAATGTTATTTATAGTTGTTGTTATTGTTAATTTTTTAAAATTTATTTGCTTAATGTTTTAATTTTTATCATTATAATTATTTAAAACATCAAACATTATTTTTTGATTTTAAAGGTAACAATATAACAATTTATATAGAATTATTTTTAACTATTGTTATTGTAAATTATTTAAAACTACTTATTTGGAAACTTTTAACGATTATAAAAATATCTTTAAGAAATATTTTAATTCAATTGAGATTACAATTTAGTTTTTGCATTTATCACTACAATTTATCACTTTTAACTATTTACAAAATATTCTTTGGTTTTTTAAGTGGAACTGAAAATTATATTTAAGTTGACATTGTAATGCGCAAAAACACCTATATAGTTGAAGTCTTTACAAAATATGTTTTTTTTAAAATATAAAAATAACGTTGTTGTTAAATTTGCTATAATAATTCGTATACTAAATTGATATAATATATTGATTATTTTGAATTATATGATAATATATACAATTATTATAACTTCATATTCTCAACCGTTTGAATGTCTTCTACCTGCGAGTTATACATGAATAAAATTAAATATAATATATGATTTAATGTTATTTATAGTTGTTGTTATTGTTAACTAATTTTTTAAAATTTATTTCCTTTATGTTTTAATTTCTATCATTTTAATTATTTAATATATCAAACACTATTTTTTGATTTTAAAGGTAACAATATAATCATTTAAATAGAGTTATTTTTAACTATTGTTATTGTAAGTTATTTTAAGCTACATATTTGAAAACTTTTAATGATTATAAAAATATCTTTAGGAAATATTTTAGTTAAATTGACATTACAATTTAGTGTTTGCATTTATCACTACAATTTATCACTTTTAACTATTTACAAAATATTCTTTGGCTTTTTAAGTGGAACTAAAATTTATATTTAATTTGAGAATAAACTGTTATATTTAAGTTAACAATGTAAGTATTTTGTCCAAACTATTCAAAAGTTGTAGTTTTAAACTGATAATGGTTTACATATAACAACATATTAAATCTAATAAATTAAGTATAATATGTTAAAAGTTAAAGACATAACTTTATAAGTAGAAGTAAAGATATTATTTTAAAACTGAAATTTAGTTTATTTATGATTACACTTTAGGTTTGATATTTATTTAACCTTATTAGCCAACTTATAATCATTATT